TAAAATAAAATAAAATAAAATAAAATAAAATAAAATAAAATAAAATAAAATAGAATAGAATAAAATACAATGAAATAAAATAAAATAAAATAAAATAAAATAAAATAAATTAAAATAAAATAGAGTAAAATAAAATATAGTATAATATAATATAATTTAATATAATCAAAGAAAACAAAATAAAATATAATTAAATTAAATAAAACATATTCAAACGATGTAAAATATATTATAATATAATTTAGATAATATATTAAAACACAATAAAATAAAACAATGAAATTAAATCAAATGAAATGAAATGACATAAAATTAAAATTAATTCAATTTAATTTAAAAAAACCTTTTTAAGATAAAATATTATATAATAAGGTATGCAAATTAAAATTAAATAAAAAAATTAACAAGAAATTAAGTTATGTAAACAAAATTAATGCATTAAAAAACAAGATGTGAACAAATTTAAAGTCTAATTTAAAAGCTTTTTTCACACCAGTATGTATCACCTACACGAAGTCAAATCTCCTGAAAAATAAATATGTATAAAGTAATTCGTTGGCGAAAAAAAAGTTATTTTGTAATAAAGTTTCAATTTTCAAAATGATCCAAATTAAAAAAAAAGTAAGCTAGCGTTCTTAATAGGCGGCCTAACCTTAAATTTATCCAATTTGATAAATACTGTAAAGAAAAGAACAATAAAAACAAATTATATTACGGTTATCGCTAGAACTTATAAATAAAGTAAAGTTATACGAAACACCTTTTATTATTGCTAAAGATTTATTGAAAAAAGTTCTCATCTACCTCAAAACCTTGACTAATGCAATTTTTGTTCTTCTCATTTTCCATTCACAGGGTGCTACAGGGAAACCAGGTGAACGCGGTGCCCCCGGTCCCAAAGGTGACCGCGGCGATAGGGGCGATCCTGGCTCCCGTGGACCCGAGGGTCTGCAAGGGCATAAAGGCGAGCCCGGCGTCGACGGTATGCCCGGCGTGCTGGGACCGCCTGGCCCGCCGGGACCGCCTGGCTTGCCTGAAAATTACGATGTAAGTATGCGTTTATGCTAATTTAATAAACTTCATATTAATTTTGTATTAAAATTATTTATGGTCGGTTTCTCGATCACAGCTGTAGCTATTCTGAAATTAAGATAGTTGTTTAGAAATTTAATCTTAAAGGCATAAGAACATCAATTTAAGAAGTGTACAAACAATGAACGCGAAACCGGCCCATAAATAACGATTTCTTAGACTACTCGTACATGGATCTTGTATAAAAATTATTATTATTTTTTTCATTTCCTGTTTTAAGTTGTTCTCTATTTTCTAAAGACTTGTAAGCGCACCTTCAAAATATAAATATAACTAAGTTTTATTTCGAAATTAGTAACAGAAATTAGAATAAAGCTCATATGTGTCACATACGTGTATCCAATTGTGTACTTCATGATCATAATTAAATTAAAATATTTGTAAATTAAAAACGCCTTGGAACAAATGCAATGTTGATATATGAAAACGAAAATCGGATGTGAAATAACTGAATTATTTACAATGAAAATTTGGAAAATTGTGTCTATATTCATAAATATATATTCTATATGAGTTTGGGAATAATGTTTTTTTTGGTATACACTTAGCTCCATATTGCCCCTGACAAGCTTATATACTACCTCGTTTTCGGGAAAGTTTGGATGGCAAGGGATTCCAAAGATCCAGATAGAATAACTGCTCCAAATCCGCGTTCCACTTTGGAGCCATCTAAGTATGGATGATGTATCCAGACAGAGGTATCCAATTTCCTATTCCAGTCATCTTACGATGTAAGAAGGACCTCGAAAGGTCAGCGAAGTTCTATTTCCAGCTATCTATAATCGATGTGCTATCTTATATTCGACGGTAGTCGATAATTTATGCTACTATATATATTCGATCTTCTTTCATTCTCAGAGTACTATTACCCACAGAGTAGACCTCAGAATATATACTCAGAAATCTTCCTTTTTTGCAAAGTCTGAAAATTCGCTATTGCGCTAACTTTAAATCGTCAACATGCAAATCGTGCTTTAAGGCGTTTCCGCCAAAACAAAGTTAACCAACTAAACGTTCGTAAACAATGCGCCAAACATTTACTTTCAATTTAATTTTGTCAGTTCTTTGCCATCGCTTTTTTAGTTGCCAACAGCCTTAAGCGGCCGATCAGCCGGGGGAGTGTGAGTTTTCTCCGTGCCGAGTAGGGCACGGTTTTTAATTTAGTTTATTTGCGTGTCGCTTTTTTTTGCCAACCGGCTTATCGCTTGGGATGTTGTTTACAAAGTTGCTACATTTCTGGTTTTTGGTCGCCACGTACTACAACAGAGACTACTTCGCAAATTTGCACGCTAAAATGGCAAGATTATGTGTGTGCCATGAAAAGATTGCAGCAAGTAATAAAATATTCTTCGCAATTTACCACTGCACTTAGTCGTGTTACTTAACTTCTCTCTGTTTCCTTGTTTTTTTTTTTTGAATATGTTTTATCTGCTCTTCTTTGCACAACTGAGGCGTTCCAGTTTTCATTTTAAAACCCATTTATTTTTTCTACAAACCCTACCTATCTATTTTAATAATTCTTGTCCCTTGTCAAGTCAAAGCCACATACATATACAACCACAGCCACAAGGAGGTCAGCACACCGCTGTCAGTTCATTTAAAAATTCCTTGTCACGCCATTATTTTACTAGCGGGCCAGTTCGGTAGACCAAGGTAGTGCATATATTATGTATTTGGCTTTCACTTTTGTAACCTTTTATCCTTGCTTGCATGGCATAAGAAAAACAAAATAAAAGCTCGTCTCACTTTTGTTCAGCTTTTAAAAAGTTAATTGTGCGGCAGCGCAAAATTGGTTTTGATTTCTTTTCTCCACTTTTTTAATACCTACTCTTTTAAACGAAAATTGTCTATTGTGCTAATTTTATTTTATTGCTATTTCCGTGTCATTCCCTTTTACCTTTGCCAGCATTAATTAACTCGCTGGGATATTTGTATGTAATTAGCTCCTTATCTTTAGCCGCCATCAGTCGTTTAAACTTTTAAAGAAACGTATTCTGATATCAGTATATTCCTTTTTTCTTTACGGTGTTTTCCGATACTATGAACTCACTGAACATTTTGTGGGTAGGCCGCATATAATTTTGTGAAATCTTTTATCGTAAAAGCGTTGAACCACGCCCCTTTTAATTTGACATTTTTGCAGAATACCAAATTTTTGATTAATGTTTCAGTTAAGGAATACATACATACAGGTATACATACATACTTACGTAAATTTCAGTGCGGAGTGCGAATTTACCAAGCGCCTCGTAACCAGCGCCACTTTAGGTTAAAGGAAAACATTTTTTTTTTTTTTATAAAGCCCCTTAATGTATTCTTGAAAATTCGGTTCAGAAGCCAAATTAATGTTCCGCTGTCTCACCCTCTTCAAGTGACGAAGGAAAATTGTTATTGTGACACGTAAAGTGTCCATTCAGCAATTCCACCAGTTGTCTGCAGTCCCAGCTGCTCAATAAATACAAATACCCAGCTTGACCTTCTGAGATTGGGGTGGACATAAATTTTGCCCAAATATAGCCCCTCAGTAATGACAGTTTGGGAAAACGGCTTCGAAGGCCGAAGGATTGAGTGAAATAACTGTTCTGTTATCACTCCAGAGTGACCTTGCACCCAGTGTGCTAAAATTCTATGGTTCTTCGAAAAGTCATTTTAAACCTTTTAGTCCATTTGTAGGAATTTTGCATATTAAAACATTTTTCATTTTTCATAGTGTCAATTTAAGAGCCATCAATATATTTGTCACAGGGACCGAACATAACAGTTATTGATGAAAACTGTCACTGAAAAATTCACTATGAAGGAAATGTTCTACAACTAAGTGATACATAGCAATCGGTTTCTTTTTTCACCGAGCATCAAATTTGAAAATAAATTTTTATTTGTAATTTTTATGCTTAATTAAAAAAAATAACAATTACTTATGATTTTTATTTTACAAATCCAAAATAACAATTATTTTTGATATTTATATAAATAATCTGTAGATAACAGTTATTTTTATACGTCTTAGATAAGAGTTATTGAAGACCTTTATTTATAAAAGTCATCAATAAAAATCAATCACCGACTTTTTATTTTTTAAATCATACGTATAAAAGTCATTCGTCTTCAATAACTGTTATCTAAGATATATAATATAAAAATCAAAAATTACTGTTATTTGCAGATTTTTTAGATACAACTCAAAAATAATTGTAATTTTGGATTTATAAAATAAAAATAAGAAAAAACTGTTATTTAAGGAGTAATTAAAAAAAGTCAAAAAATAATTGTTAAAGAGTGATTTTTTTAATAAAAGTTGTAACTGTTACGGTCCCTGATTTGTCATATGTGTCGAAATTTTACGGAAGGTTTAGGGCAACGTCTTTAGTCCGGACCATTGCACCAATATCAAGTATCGACTATTAAACTGCTGGAATGATTTTCAAGCAGAAGATACGGCCATCAGAGATTCATAAAAACGCTGCAGTAGTGTGTATCGACAAAAGGGCAGTTCAGCACTTACTGTGCTGGCCAGAAGTTGATGAGCACACTCAACTCACTAATGGTGTACTTGAAACTTGTCTGGGAGTGTCTGATATTTATTTTACTTTAGTCGGAATATTTTCTAATTATTAATTGTGGTAATATTTAGCAGGCCACATTAACAAAGTAGAGAACTGCATGGTCAACGAGTTGACACACAGAGAAATGAGTTCATGACTCCTACATTTCCTTCTAGGCTTCCCAACTTTCGCTATGTTGTGGTTGAAATATCGCACACGATCTTCAAAGGTGACACATCGCAATTTTACACGTTCGTCAGCAAATTCGAAAAAAATATTTATATATATTTCTTGTGCGATATCTTAACTCACACTTTATAACCAAACCTTAAGAACACTCCAGAAAAATTACTACTTCTGACCCTAGTTTTAGAAAGCTCCACCTTACTTCACGCTGAAAAGCGAAATATTCCTCCATTACAATAAGAACCCTTATTCAGGACTGATTATAATGAAATTGAGTGTATTTAGAGGGGCTTGGTCTTATGAGATATAAATACATTTCGTTTGACTGCAGTTAATAGTAAAGCGCAAAGAGTTTCTTGTTTAAATAGTTGCTCGGCCTGAGAGACATAATATTGGCCCCAGAACTTATTCGATCCTTGATTATCTAATTTATGTTTGTACGCAATAAATAATACTCAGTTGTTCATAACGGTTTATTTTCAAGCTAAGAAAGCACTGTAACAATTTAGGTATACTTTCCAGCTCTTTGGTTATTGTAGTCTTAGAATGTTACTTGCGACGCATTGCTTTCTGTGTTTAGAATTGCAGTAAGTTTGCGGTGCACACAGAAAATTTCTATGATCAATCTAACTATACTTCTTTCTTTTCAGTAATATAACAGAACCGTAGTTTACTCTCACATTTTTTTAAGCTAAATGGGTTAGTTGTTGGTTACTCTACATAGTGCTTATCATAACTAAAACCTACAAATTAACAAGCTCCGACGATTTATAATTTTTTTTTCATCTTAATTATTTTTCTATAAAAAGATTATCAATCTGAAAAACTGCCAAGTCCACTTTTTTTCAAAATTCAGTTTTTGATGCAGAATGCTAGATAATGCGAAACTACATCGATGTCTCGTCTCTCCTGAACATTAAAAAAAAAAATGGACTTGACACCTTTTCACGTTTAGGTAACGATATACGTACATTAGGACAGAGCAAAATTTACAAAGAAAGTGTATAGCAAATTCAAATTCTACGATTAATTCTAAGCAAAAGTGGTGAAGAAGGTATATACCAAAAATTACGTTTTCAAGAGAAAAAGAAGTGCATATATCTATTTTTTTGTCGAAATTTATTTTTCATTATACCAAAAAATGTTGTACATAATTTTTATTTTCTCGGTTTTGTGAAGTAGTTTCTTAAATATGAAGAAAACACAAAATTTTGTAAATGAAAA